TATTTTATTCATTCTGTATACCGTTTCCGGTATAAATTAATATTACCACGAAATATTACAGTTACGTGACACATTGAGAAAAAATGCCGACCCGCCATATCAGATAGTCTGAGAAGTACCGTTCTACACTCCTTCAAATAAAAGGATGACTACAAAACGAATACTAGCTGTATGACGTCACTCTCCTACCACATTATCTATTACACTTGTATAACATTGTTTGTTTGTTTGTTTGTTTGTTTGTTTGTTTAAAACTTAACGACCCATCGATCAGCAAGAGATCATTTAAGGTCAAACAGTTGTTTTTTGTTGTTGTTTTTTTCTTTTTTCTTTAAATAAGGTTGAAATGCTTTCAAAAAGACTTTCCCTTTCCTTTCCTTCTTTTTCGATGTTGTCTTGCTTTTTTTTTTAAATTCGCTGTTTTCGGAGGTGCGTTGTTCTTTGAAAATTTCTCACCTGGCAAGTATCAATGTTTCCCCTTTCATCATCAGACACCAAATTGGAATTATATTTTATTATATAGTCCAACTTTTCTAAGTAAGGTCAAGATCAAATTGGGGTTTGATTTTTCGAAAAGTTCTTTCAAGTTGTTCACGTTGTAAAATAATTTTCGAATATGTGCCATGTCACCGCAATCAAGCAGGAAGTGCTTCACAGTATAAGAATTATATTGCATTCAGGTGGATCTTCGTCTTTTAGGAGGAAGGAGTGAGTTATGTGTCCTATGCGAATACGGGATAAAACCACTTCTTCTTTGCGGGATTTTCTGTGTTCAGTTAGTTGTTTCTTTACAGAGGGTTTGATTTTAAATAATTTGTTTTTTTGACAGTTGTTCCAAGCGTCTTGCCATTTCTTCAAAAAGTCATTTATTAGGGGTTTATAGTCAGTGTATAGAACCATTATGTTACTTGTGTTAAGTTTCAGAGAGTTTTTTGAAGCCACATCAGCTTTTTCATTTCCATGAAAACCAGAGTGGCTGGGAATCCAACAGAAAATGATAGTTTTATTTTGTGAGATCGCATTTATTATATGTAGGTGTTTGATGAGCAAAGGATTGTTTAATTTTTGGTTTTTTAATGATTCGAGTACTGATAATGAGTCTGCAAAAATAATGAATTTATTTGAGTGAAGTTTAGTGATGAGGTCTAGAGCCAAATCAATGGCTGTAATTTCAGCACTAAAAATTGAGGAGTTGTTAGGTAATCTTTTCTGTAGAACAGTACTTTTAAAGATAGCTGCACATCCTACTTTGTTTTTGACTTTGGAGCCATCGGTATATATGTGGGCCCAATTTGGGTATTGTTCCAGAATATCATTTAGTTTTTCTATATAGTATAAGGGGTGTGTGTCAGATTTAGTGTTGGCAGCCAGTCTTAAAATGACTTTTGGTCGTTCCAATAGCCAAGGTGGATGTTTGGGTAGCTTGAATTCATGTATACTATTTTTGCCTATCAAACTGTCTGTAAGTGGTTTTATCATTTTTTCCAGTAAAGACCAAAACGTTTGATAACATTTTCTTTTTTGTCAAACATGTTTATAGTTTGGGTTGATTATGCATTGATAGGCCGAATTTGATGGATTGGATTTGAGTTTTAGGTAATATTGTATAGCTAATTTCTCACGTCTCAGTTTTAGAGGAGCCTCATGAGCTTCAACATATAGGCTTTCTATGGGAGATGTTTTAAAGGCACCAAGAGCAAGTCTTAGTGTGGTGGATGGGGTCAAGAATTTTTAGATAGGATTTCCTGGCCATAACATATATGAAACTTCCATAATCCAATTTGGAGCTTATTAGTGTTCTGTATATTTTTAGGAGTGATATGCGATCTGCTCCCCATTCTGTGTTAGCTATAACCCGCAAAAGTTGTAGTGGTTTGAAACATTTTTGTTTTAAGTATTTCAGATGGGGAATGAATGTGAGTTTTTTTATCAAATATTATTCTCAGAAATTTGTGTTGTTTGGTCATTTCTATTTCGGTTTCCTCTAATTTAAGTGTTGGGTCGTTGTGCATTTTTCTTTGATTACAAAAATGCATGCACTTTCTTTTGATTTGTGAGAGTTTGAAACCATTTTCAATGGTCTATTGATTTATTTTATTTATGCATATCTGAAGTTGACGTTCTGAGGTATGCATATTTTTTGATCTATGGCAAATTAAAAGATCATCTCCATATAAGGAACCATTAACTTCGTTGTTCAAACAGGTTACACAATGTTGTTAATATTTATGTTAAAGAAAGTGACACCCAAGATGCATCCTTGTGGGACTCCTTCTTCTTGAATTTTTGAGTCTGAGAGAGTTGATCCTATTCTTACTTTGAAGCTTCTGTCAGATAAAAAGTCTTTTATCAACAAGGGTAATCTGCCTTTTAGGCCAAGATTGTATAAGTCTTTCATTATTCCTTGTCTCCATGTAGTTTCGTAGGCCTTTTCTAACGTTGTACAATTAGAGTAACACAAAATTTATTGCTTTTTATATGTTTTGATATTGAATTGTTTTATGTAAAATAAATGGAAGATAAAAAAAAATAGTCAACTTTTATTATACTCATTATATACATCGTTTCCAGTATAAATTAATATCATCAGAAAATATTACAGGTACATGACACATTGAGAAAAAACAATGCTTGTCCCCCATATCTGATAGTTTGTGAAGGACTGATATTTAGGTTCTTGACAAGTCTAAGATAAATGTCTATTTTAAAATAATCTAAATACATGCATGTCAAAAAAAAAAAACTAAGAAAAAAACAAAAAAAAACTGCATTAAGAATGAAGAGAACTTTTTTTTCTATTAAGGTGTAATTGTTATCAATTGAGAAATTCGGTGGTGGTTTGGAGCAGTGCTACTCAAAGTGGTTTTCCGCTGACTGGTGCTGGTACAGAAACCATCAGCTACCGGTCCGCGGCCAGTGTCCAGGCCATGCTAAGGAATTATTTGAAGCTTACCTTTTTTTTTATTGCTTTTTTATGTTTTGATATTGAATTATTTTATATAAAATAAATGGAAGATAAAAAAATAGTCAACTTTTATTGTATTCATTAAATACATCGTTTCCAGTATAAATTAATAATACCACGAAATATTATAGGTACACATTGACACATTGAGAAAAAAATGCCGGTCCGCCATATCAGATAGTTTGAGAAGCACTGTATTAGAAAATCGTATTTATTAATCCTCATAGAGGAATGGGATATGACAGAAAAGATTTATTTATTTACGAGAAACACCCGTAAAAATTTCACGGTTTTCCTATTTTAATATTCTGATGAATCTTAATTAACTTAATGACTGAAGAAGGTCATGGCGAGTTCTACGACAATAAAATATCCGTAGAAATTCCCCTAAATTAAATATTTGAGCTTAACAACTTTAACAAAATGTTGCAATAACAATTAGAAATCTGAATGGTCGTTATTTTAAGAAGTAATGGGGTACAAATGAAAAGATTTGAAATTGACAACTTTTTCCAATTCGCTGAAACAGTCATTAAACACTTCTATCTTCCATACTTTCTTTCTTTCATTCATTTTCTTACTGAAACCAAGTAGTGTCTTTTCCCACTCTTTTCATGTCATCAAAACGGGATAGTTATTTATGAGAAAGTGACAGATGTTAAACACTTCTATCTCCCCTTCTTTCTTTCTTTCTTTCTTTCTTTCTTTCTTTCTTTCTTTCATTCATTTTCTCACTGAAACCAAGTAGTGTCTTTTTCCTCTCTTTTCATGCGAAATAGTCCGCTATTCATGAGGTAGTAGCGGAAGATGTTAAACACTTCTTTCTTTCTTTCATTTTCTCACGGAAACCAAGTACCGTCTCTGATATGTCATTTCCGTGTTTCCACGCTGTCAAAACGGAATAATCCATTATTTATGAGATACTGACAGGGCGTAATGGTCGTGCGAAGGAAGAGAGGGACAAGTAAAATTATAATAAGAATTTCGTTACAAAATGTGATTTTTTTTCTCTGTCCAGCGGCAGTCCTTAATCTTGCTTATCATATTCTTACTTGCCACCCCATGCAGACAGGAAGCGATACAAGGTCAGTTTAATGTGTGGAGCTCGAGCGCGCGCACTTGTGCCAGGTCAAAAAAAGATAGCCCAGCCCTCGCTGCCGTCCGTTGTGCTGGAATTGGAATTACCGACCGACCCTCTTTAGTGCAATGTGGGAGGTACTGCCGCTCTTCTCCGGGACCGAGCACTTCTCAGTTTGATTGGTTGCTTTTTGACCAAAAACAAATGCACAACTTGTTCGTGCTCTGTCCGAAGATAGGGACGCAACTGAATTGCGCTCTGTCTGAAGACAGGGACACAACTGAATTGCACTCTGTCCGCAAACAAGGGCACAACTGAATTGCGCTCTGTTCGAAGACAGGGGCACAGCTGAGAGATGACAAACGAGATACGATAAATGGGATCTCGCAAGTCCGATCCGCAAGGCTCGCGTATCATCTTCTGTCCCTCCACTTACTGCATGAATTTAAATGTGTTACGAGATGATATTTAGGGATTTTCTTTGAACGTGGGTCTTCTCGTGAACATATCTAAGATTCTGACATTTTTCTCTCGAGTGAGGTGCTTATGGGACATCCGATTATCCCATGTGTCCATATCTTAAGAGCAGTTGTGTCAACCGCCTGTTGACATGTTGGGGGCATTCACTGACATCAGGTGAGACGTGATTCTGCACTTGGGGACCATGAAATTGCCTTCCAAGTCAATCATCTAATGCATCTGATTCCACTGATGTTTTGATGTGACACCAAGTGCAAAGCCTACATTGGTATCTATTCAGCTGAGCTCAGTATATATTGAAGCCACCATAGATCAACTCCTCTTACATCAACGGTTCCTGACTGACATTAAAATCGATTCAGACGTTCGGCATTTCCTGGATAGATCACATTCTACACATCTTTGGACACATCAAGATAGCTGAATTGAACTTCGTTCATTCACCTTAAGAGAAACATTGTTTGGCTTTGTTTTGGCTTACGGTCACATCACGTTGAAAAACCGGTTCCCGTAGGATCACGGAAGTTAAGCAATGTCAAGCCTGGTCATTACCGAGATGGGTGACCGCTTAGGAAAACCAGTTGTAGTAAGCGTGGATGTGTTGCTGGTATGATGGATAATGGCTCAGAATTGTTAATCAGAGAGCCGTTACGTTCGTTATATTCACTTACGCTCAAATACCCTTGGGATAGGTATGAATCCACCTCTTCTCCCCAGCTATGGGTTAATTAGCAAGACTTGTATCACTAAATTATTATCTGCAAAAAGACTCTTACAATATAAAAATATTTGAATATATTGAATATCATTAGAATAAAATATGTGATCATTTATTAGCTTGTTGTTATATGCTGGTATGTTTGAGTGAATATTAGTTAGAATTACGTCGCGGGAATCAACACTTTGGATAGTAAATATTTACAGGCCCCTGGAACATTTATCCCGCAAACAACATTGGCGGACTCAGTGTGAGTCCAGTTAAAAATGTAAAACACAAAACAATAATTATAAAACAAACGAGAAAACATGTATTAATAAAAGGAATTACATGCGTAAACAATCGTTCCGAAAAGAAAAAAAAACATTCAAACAAGTTGTAAGAAGAATGTGCTTGTGTGTGTGTGTTTGTGCAACAAGTATGTGTGATAGACACGTGTGTGTGTGTATGCGTGCGTGAGAGAGTTCAAAAGTCAAAGGAGGACGTGCGACTATATCTGAAATCCAGAGCTAAAAACACCAAAAAAGAGTCAGAATATCATTGTTTATTTATAGATTTAAGGAGCGCCCCACCCTAGCGTGCGTTTTGGCACAGTCAAGTGGGGTAAACCACAAGCTTTTAACTTCAAAAACTGATTCTGTAATTATTACTCCTGAGAAACAAAACATAAAATGCAAAATGTATATCCAGATATAATAGAATTCCCTATATCGGCGAACGATCTGCAGGATTAGACTCTTAACCATAACAACAGTGCCATCTCTGAAGTAAGACTCGTTACAAACAAAATGGATAATTTGTTTTTTCCTTTCCCATAACGTATAATTGAAAATAGAACTGACGGCCGGCAGGTTTATAGTATAAATATAAAGGTCTGTTGAGTGGAACTTGTCTTCTTTAGTTTTTTTTTTTTTTTTTTTTTTTTTTTGCATGTTGTCGATAGATCAATTTTTTTTTTCTATTTTGCTCAAAATGAAGAACCGCTGCCAAAAATAACAGGAATGAGACCTTCTTTGCCAACAATCGATCGTCGATGAAAGCAAAAGCCAAAACAGATAGCTGGCCCAGAGGGTTTCTTAAATGAAAAGCAATTTTTGATGTCATTTCAGAAAATTATATCAGTAGAGTTTTTATTATTATTATTATTATTATTATTATTATTATTATTATTATTATTATTCGATCAAAAGTAGATTATTCTAAATAATATTGGACTGGTAAAAAAATTAATTTTTATAATTTTATAGTTTCGGGGTGAGTTAATTAAAAAAAACGAATGGCATTAGGAACATTAATTTATTACTACTGTGATTATTCGTGTATAATACACCCCATAACTTTAGGCTATGAGATTCCGTATAGAAAAAAAAAAACCTCTCATGTATAGTACGCACCGACTTTTCAGAATTTGTAGCAGATAAATTTAGTTTAAATTTAATATTTATTCAATTTTTGTCCAGTCCGTATGACTTAAAAATAAGAATTTTTATAGCTGACATCAGGCATGGGCAATCTTTGTTTGTTTTTTGTTTTGTTTTTTTTTGGTTTGTTTTTTTTGGGAGGGGGGTGTTTTTTGTTTTTTTTGTTTGTTTGTTTTTTTTTTTTTTTCTTTTTTGGTTTTTTTTTTCGAATAAAGGGCCACCTGAGAAATATCTCATGATAAGGTGGAACGCACTATACAGTGTGTATCAAAAATACTTTTATGAACTTTCGGGGTGGATTCCTCACGCCAAAACACGTGTAGAGGACCGTGGGGTGATGATGTAAAGAACACACGTGGGTTAAAATTTCCTGCTAGCCGGTCCAGCTACCTGAGAATGTTGGACTTTAATTAAGTCCAAAGAAGACAAAGAAAACAAACAAGACATAAGAACAAGACTTATCCAAACAGATAACTGTCTTGTTCTTATGTACATCGTCTTTGTCATGTTGTATTGATAATGTTATAATTTATGAATATGTCCTGAAGATTGTTTATTAGACCGAAACGTCCGACGTTGACATATTAACATTAAAACAGCATAATTGTATATAAGGATTTTTGTTTGTTTTTTCCGTATATATTTTTCTTCATACTGTCGGATTTATATCCATATATTTGCTTACAAACAAATATATGTATTAACAACAAGTTACAAGCACATGGACAGTTACATTGAGTTTGTATGGTGAATATTATGTGTGTGTATTGTAGTGAGTGTTCGTACGTACGTGTATTGGTATTGTTTTTGGCGTGTTCCCAGAATTTGGGAAACGCTGTATTGCTAAGAGCTCACATATTGGTATTAGCTGAAATGAAGAAAGAAGAGAAAGTATTACTTCGCCGTATCCCACACAAGGATACGGCCCAAGGCCTGAGGGGGAAAAAGAGATCGAGGCAAAGGGTCACCCAGTATTTATAGCAAGGGGAGAGAGACCCCTGGTGAAGGATTAAGGAACTAAGGAGGAGCTAACTCCGACACACGTCTGTAAACAAGACTGAAGAGACAAAAAACGGATCGGCAGTTTGTGCAATATGTGAAGAACGTTCAGGCAGGAGAAAAGCAGTACACTTACCTGGGTTGTTTCTTACTAACTAAAAGTAGTTACGTTTTTACTAACTTTTTCTAGTTACAGGGGCCATGTGACTTTATTACTACATGATCCCTGAAGTGGTTATAAAGGAAGTGTTTTTCTTTTTTCCTTTTTTCCTGCAAGTTATTAGAAGGTCGCGTTACGTCACGGAAAGGAATCTTATTTCGCATCTTAAGGTAAGTGTTCGATCCTCACTAGGTGCCCCATACTTTCGGCCTTGTGCCACATCTAAGCTACGCTTGGAAAATAGCTTAAGGTAAGTGTTTTTGCTTCTTTTCCTCGGCCTCAACCGTCTTTATATTTCTGGCGGGTTGAGATTTTCTTGACAAATAAGCCATCGCCAAAAGTCATCCCGTGGTGAGTAATCAGAGGGCGAAAGACCCTGCACCCGTTGCAAATGATACGAATACAAGAGCTGCTCTTAAAGTACCCGCAGTGCGGTACTATGAGATGTACGACATGCCTGGGCCACTTGACATGTGCTAATAGCTAGATCGTCTCCGACAGACTGTAGAATGTGTTCTTCGTGGTCAGTGGGACGACCGAATTACGGTCTTCTTCGATCCATAGTTTGTGGTACCATAGATCCCGTCACAGCAATGCGACAATAAACAGCAGCAAAGGTTGGATGACTAGGCTCCCTTCGGTCTGGAAACGCAATCTGATACTCGCGTCTATTTCTATTCGCGCGGCCCTATGTAAAAATCCTATCTGCCTGCTCACGATATGAACATCCTGCCATTATTTCACGAAACACTTCTCAGTTTACTCACTAATATATGCGTTAAACATTGAAGAGAGACTAGTCATAAATGTACACGAATGACAAATGTAACATAGTCTATATAGCAACACAGCTCAATTTACCGTAAACTTTCTTTAAACCCAATAACTCAAAAACAAAGGACATGTTTATATGTACTTTTGTCCTAGTTTTGGTGTGAGGAACCCGTCCCCAAAGTTTGTAAAAATATTTTTGATACACTTTGTATTAAAAACAATAAATTCAATGTAAAATTTGTCGAATGTACGTCAGTCATTTTCACTATAGGCAATCATACGCGTAAACATTTCCCTTAGGAATGGGGCAAATATTTTTTAATGAAGAAAAGCTGTTTGTTTTCTATTAGTGAAGTCTTAGTATAATGTAAACACTGTTCACAGTATGGTTAACACATTGGTGAGTAGTTTGTTTCTATTCGTTAAATTATTCTTTTAAATATTATAAACGTTTCCTGTTTATAAAGCAAAAGATATTTACACGTATGAGCTCCCTTAGTGAATATTTGCATTAGTTTAAAAACCTGAAAAAGATTACCTTTAATGAAATGTTAGAAAGTTTAAGAAACATTGTAATTATTATACGATAGAGTGTGAGTGAACAAGTGAGCACATGTTCCAGGTTAGTGGTAAGGCCAAGACCGACTTTACATTTCCCAACTCCCATCGATAGTGGAAATAATCGAATTTTCATGCTTCTACGGCAGTTTTCATGTAGTTTGCGGCCATTTTGTTCTGGCCAGAGTGAGAGCCTATAGCTGGCTGCCACGAATAGGCAAGAAGTTTCTGTTGGCCAGCGTGAGAGCCAACAGCTGACTGACACGAATGTTAACTAGCATGCTAGCATGCAAAAAAAAAAGCGATAGCTGCATTCGTCACAAGTGGGAAAAATTTACATCAGCATGGCACTTTACTCCAATTGGCTCATTCGCTTGCTTTAACTCAATGTTGATTCTGATTCCGCAGAACTGGGTTGGGTGTGAAAAAGTATTTGTTGTTAACATTCTTTTTTCACTCGGTTTTTCCAGTTATGAGTCCTTTTTTTTTAAAGCTGATCGTTTTGTGTTCATTTTGTTTAGTTCTTTTTTCGTAACAGATTTAATGTTTAGTATAGAGCTTAGAAAAAAATCGCAGTGTGAGATAGGCAAGAAGTAAGGCATGTAGCAACATCAGTACGGCAAAGGGCACTCCTTTAAAAGCAAGGAAGGGCAAAAATATTTTAACTCAAGTGATAGCGATTGCTGTATGAGTCGTACGATTTTTGAATCAAGCACGGGCAACGCCAGGCCATGCTGCTAGTATCCAATATTATCGAGAAAACACACGGACATGTTCGCACAAAAAAAGTAATAAGCTTGCTGCAAAATTAAACTTCTCACTGGGCGAAACAAAATTATAAACATACATTCCAGTAAATGGTGACTGTTTCTCTGTAGCAGCGTAAAACAAATGTGGAGGTAGAAAATAGGGACTTTCTTTTTATCTGCCGTGTTCTTTCAGGACGTAAGCGATCATGG